TGTCAAATATTGAGTAAAGTGTATTAACAATGTATCTCAAGTTTCATCAAATCGAATTATGCATTTTTGAAACGTACAATCTGTTTCAATACTAGTATTGAGAGCGGAGCCAGCCACTCATCAACCTCGCATATCTCAAAAACTATTGAATGTTCCAACTTTAAATTTTTGTCAAATATTTAGTAAAGTGTGGTAACAATGTATGTCAAGTTTCATCAAAATCGAATTATGCATTTTTGAAAACGTATAATCTGTTTCAATACTAGTATTGAGAGCGGAGCCAGCCACCATCAACCTCGCATATCTCAAAACTATTGAATGTTCCAACTTTAAATTTCTGTCAAATATTTAGTAAAGTGTAGTAACAATGTGTGTCAAGTTTCATCAGAATCCAATTATGCATTTTTGTAAACGGATAAACTGTTTCAATACTAGTATTGAGAGCGAAACCAGCCACCAATCAACCTCGCGTATCTCAAAAACTATTGAATGTTCCAACTTTAAATTTCTATCAAATATTTAGTAAAGTGTAATAACATTGTATGTCAAGTTATCAAAATCGAATTATGCATTTTTGAAAACGTGCAATCTGTTACAATACTAGTATTGAGAGCGGAGCCAACCACCCACATCAACCTCGCATATCTCAAAAACTATTGAATGTTCCAACTTTAAGTTATTTCCAGTTCCAGTAAAGTGTATTAACAATGTATGTCGAGTTTCATCAGAATCGAATTATGCATTTTTAAAACGGATAATCTGTTTCAATACAGAAACTATTCAATTCAATCGTTGAATGAAACATCGCAAGGGTCCACGGCACAAACAAGTTTGGGAACCTATGCTCTAAAATATACTCAATGAGATTTGGTACATGAGCTTTTGCTTCATTTAAAATAAAAAGAATGTAACTACATGTTTTCAGCAAAGCAGTTATTTAATGTTAAAAAGCATTTTTATTCTTGATAAAAAAATAAAATGTTGTCCATGAAAACGAGATTAAAAAGTGATCCTTTACATATGCATCACATCGTAAATTTATACAACACCGGCTTGCATGCACTTTTCACATTGTTAAAACGGTTAAGATTATAGCCGCATAAAGTTGAACGAAACATAGAGCGTTATAACTCATATGAAATGGCCGAAAGAAATTTATGAGCATCGGTAGCAGCCGGTTCACCAGGCAAAACATGATATGTATATACTAATTTGACCCCTCAAAATTATTTGAACTTACTTAAAGAACTCGAATTAAAAACACGGAACTTATTACAATTAATTGATGAATTTATTATGATTTATCACTTACCCATTTCGCCGGGTTTTCCATATCCCTCAGGAACTATCGGTGCAGGTTTCCATCTCCTCAGCTTTTTAGCAGGATAATGTCCTTCTACCGGGATATCGTTATCATCCTCTCCGCCATCGGCAAAATCTTCTTCCGCTTCCGAGACAGTTCAGCCTTATTGGCGACGAGTGCCTTTGGATGATCAATCTGCAACAAAAAAAAAAAATCATCAATTATTGTCTTGTTGGAGGTTAATTGATAGACTATTAGTTCAACAAATATTATTATTCTAAACGTTTTAGCTTTAAAAACATTTTCTTTAACAAAAGAAACAATATACAAGGTACAACATATCAAGTACCTACGGTGACCATTTTTGATAGCATGTATTTTCATAAAAATGATATATCATTTCATTTCATTATATATGAAAACGAGAATAGACACATTTAACCTAGTGAAATAAGTAACTCATTCGCAAAACTCGCTATTAATTGTATGAGCCATTGTAATGGATGAAAACGGAATTGCATGGCATTACGAAATAATTCATGCCACATTGCATTGTGAAAAAACTACTGTGAGTTCAATAGCATCGCTGTTTGTAACCTATTCGTAATAGAATAGTTTGCTAATTAGCAAATATTGAATCATTAAGCAATCTGTAACATGTAGTTGCAAAACGAACATAATAAATGCAATCGATGGCACTTTTCAAAACAAAGAGTAGATAGAAAATTATTGATTTATCTATACCTACATCAGAACTCAATATGCGAAATTTCTAAAGGAAAACGGAATTTATTTATTATATATGTATATTGTGAAAAAGATCTGTTTGCTCCAATCTTAATAAGATGGCAATGTACATATTCAAAAAGATGATTATTTAATTTTCTATAACATAAATTGGAAACAAATTTAACGAAAGGTAATTACATTACAATCTATTCTTAAAATGTTCATTTGCAACTAAATAAATATTTCAAGAAGCAATAGCTAATGTAACTATTTATTATGTACGTTTTGACACCATATGTGTGTCATCATGCAGCAAGTTTAAACAAATTTAAACATATTTAATGAAAAAACCAAAATATGTAGTTAATGACATGATCTCTAAATTGCAAATCAAGATAAATAAAAGGCGTGAAATAAAATAAATTCAAAATAAGATTTATTACATTTGCTCGCAGGTATGTAGTGTTCAAGGTAGCTCTATTTCAATGCAAATTCAATTATAATCACATTAAATTTTTGATTACTTTACAAAAATATGATATAATTCAACACCACATGGCCGACATGGCAGATTATTATTACAGCAACGCAAAAAATAAATAAACGCACTTTAGTGTACTATCAAATATCATGCGTGAAAAAATGATTATCCGGAATTATTGAACTATTGTTAAATGTTTTGATAATAATAATGAAAAATGTTTTATTAAGATGTAAACTTGAGCATAAGATTTTTTTTTAAATATTGTAACAGTGATCAGAACTTAGCGTCCAATAAGATGCTGAGCTGAAATTCTTCCTTACGTCGTGTTTTTAGATAGCAACCCAACGGTTGTTCTGCAAAATTTAATGCACCACCAATTGGAATTTGGTGCAAGGGATATTTTCACTTGGAAACATATTTCAGATCTATATTTCCAAGTAATAAATATGAATTGCGGTGTTTTATCAAAGCTGTTCTGTTAGTATTGCGTTCATGCTCGTCTTCATTTACGCAATATTGAAGCTTTGAGAATTTCACGCTTTTGCAAATATTTGTTTAATATTGCCGATATGGTAAATATACGTATATCCTCTCTGTGCCTATCACATTGTAAAGACGATATTGTACGTGTCTGCTTTCTTACCGCAAATGCTGCGGTTTAAAGATTCCCATCTCCTGAAGATATATTACATACAAACGCCGGCATTGAGAGTACAAACAATAAGAAAATGCCAAACAGTCCAACGCAAAGTGTTCAGCTAATAAACTCTGATATTGCGTCGTTATACCGGATTTTCTCTATTATTATTACCTAATACTAATAAGTACTTTGTGAGGAGTACAATGTAAGCTATAAGCAAAAAGATGTGAAGAGCTTTAAGAAAATATGATCAATATATCGAGTATCACGCTAAAATAAAATATTTACGGTTCAATATATCAGGGAGCTCAAAATTCTCTCTAATGTAGTATTAAATTAAATATAATGCATTTCCGATAAAAAGCATGTGTCAAAATACGACAAGAATCTACTCATGTGCCAAACGTATATTACCTCCACAACATTAGCTTTTAGGCCAAAAACATTATCATAATCACCTCCGACCACAGCTCATTAAATTATCTTTTACCCTAAGCGAACGTGCCAAAGATAGCTTTATGCCGTTACAATGCATTCTACGGAGATGCTCTTTAATGAGATACTCTGCATCATCATGATGACGCTATTAGAGGAACAGCTGGTGAACGATTTTTTTACCAGAATGGAGAAAAAATAGTAATGGATTTAGGTTTGGAAACATAAATTTAACTATTAATTTTGAAAAAATTATTGCTCATTATTCGAAATAATATAAGAGACTAGTAAACCCGACGAACTCCGTTTCGCCACCAGATGGTTTCGTGAGGAAGATGAAGAAATTTTTTGTTTGTTTTATATTTGAAAAGGAAAAATTTGATTTTATTATACAACTGTAATGAATTTATTTCGATTACAAAAATGAAGCGTTTTTAGTTGAACTTCTCTAAGTAAATGAAAGTGAATTCGCAAATTATCCGTTTCATTGAAGTGCTCTTTGGTAAACCACATTTTTTGTTTTTTGGACTGACGTTAACACAAACAAAGCGGATATTTTCCAACTCTTGAACAGGCAACGTATAACTGCCCATGTGAAAAACAATGATTTTCTAAATAATCTATTTGAAATTTATCCCGCAAACACTAAGCGATTGGCCTTGCGACTTGTTATTGCGAACGCAAGGCGAACTGGAAATTGCAATCGTTTGAAGTCAAACGGAAGACCAGTCGGAATCATTGGTATGTCACCAAATCGCCCATTTTTGATTGAATGGTGAATTCAGTGCGTGTACATCATTATTCTTTGCGGCAAGAATTGCTCGTTGACTTAACCAGCATAATTCTGATAATTCTCACTAATGTCATTACTCGAATTTTTAATTACGGTGCGTAAGTTCCAGCAGCTTGCATTAAGGCACGATGCCACACACTAATTTTCTTAGCTATAAACCTTGCGGAGCCCGAGACCTTTCCAACGAATGCAAAATTGTCGAAATCGGTTTGTGCGTTCTGGAGTTATATCGTCAGGAAGGAAAACCCACTTATTTTTTTATATATGTAGAATGCAACTCTCTCAATATTCGTAAAATGTATTATTTTGATAACAATGTCCGTAAAAATAAAAATAATTTTACAATCCAACTAATTGCCATTAAACTCGATCTTGCATGGATTATTTTCTATAGTTTCTATAGTTACATTTATTTTACCAATATGAACAATTTATTTACCAGCTATCATTTTCAATCGGCTGGATGAGAAGGCACGGTACACGTTAACCGGCGAGAGTTATCGGTCTTGTGCAGTCTCTCGGCACAATAACCTTTAGCGGTCGCACCATCATAGGTCTATGGGATATATTGGATGAACAACGATGGAGAAACTATACTAAAAAACGATTAACTAAGCTGGCCAGCCAACATATGATATACACCACATTGTAGAAAATGTAGCACATTAGGTGAAGTATAAAGTATGTTGATCTTTTGTAAATTAAAAATTTTGTGCATCACAATAAGGTGACCATTGGCCAGGACAGCCCTAGATTTTTACCTTGTGTCCCGGATTTTTCTGCTATATTGTCACGGATTTAGATGTTTTGTCTCGGATTGTCCCGGGTTTCCAAAAAGTATAAATACCCCGGATTGTCCCAGGTTAGCAAAACTTAAAGTTGCCGTTCCAGTTTTGACTTAAAAAAATATAGTCACCTTAGTAGTAAAGATTTTGTTTATATTTCATTGTTACTGGAGGATTTTTATTAATGTATTAATCTGCTGTAGTTTATAGAATATAATGAATTAAATTAGTGTTTTTAAACATGACGACTTAGAATATTGAGCCTGCCATGGCTCCTTGGTTAAATGTGGACTGGTTCCAAGTTCGTTCCTACCTTGACCATAAATCATCATGCAGAAGTGATATCAGATTTTACTTGAAATTATAGATATGCATATGATTTAAGGCAAAAATGGATTTCAGGGGCATTACTCATTATATATTCACATAGATATTAGATATATATCTAAAGTAATTTCATCAAAAAGAGAATGGTCAACCACCTTCTAGAAATATCTAATATTTAGGGAATGTAAATCAATCAAAAGCTTATAAAAACTCAATTTATACCGTTATAAGAGATATGTGAAATTTATATTGGCAATAAATTGCTATAGTCATCTCATATTACTAGCTTTAATAAAAATAAAATAAACATTCGCTCCAACTATTCTAAATTACTTTTCTGTATCGTGAAATTAAACTATCAAACATCTACCACAGATTGAAAGCAATACTTGCACGTGTTATTTAAAACATCACATAAACAGAAATGTATATTTATATAAAGTGTATTCTGAAACATAGTAATTTTAAATTAAGATTAAATAACTTCAAAATTAAGCAAGTGCTAAAGCGTGAGCAAAACTAAAACTGAGAATTAGAAATTCAATTAATTTGTTTTCTTTTTTAAAAACTATCAGAACTTAACATTCCAACCTGATGTGATTGACTTTTTTAACAACGTGGTTAGAAGACTACCCCCGAGGATTGACCCTCTCTATTTTACTATTTTTATTAAAATTTCTCTGATGCTGATGATTTTTAATTTAATTCAGCAATTTCTGGAAAGGGCTATTTTCAAACTTGGAACCTTCAGTATGAAAAACCACAACTACTATCCTACTAGAAAGTCCAACTTCTATATTTTGAGTTTCAAAAATGTCTGTTTAGTACTGTCTATATGATTCTATAGCTCAGTGCAAATGTAGATATAAAGGATAAAATGATTTTTATTACTACACAATTTCGTATAACTTAATTACAGTAATGACTAGTATAATCTTCTAGAGCTTTAAAAACCTCGTTAATACTTATGTAGTACGAATTATCTATTTAAGCCAAAATAAT